CACCATGACCCGTGGTAACCAGCGTGAGCTCAACTGCCAGAAGAAAATGAAAAAGCAGAGCGACTTGGTTAAGGGAAAGTGCAGAGATGACGGGCTGTCTGCTGCCGCCGGCAAGCAGAGATCATGCAGCAAAAGCAGAAAAAGGCAAAAGAGAAGAAGGAGGAACCCAAGTAGCTCTGTGACTTCGTCTCCGATCCTCTCACCCTTCCCTGTGTGACTGGAGCCATTCTCACGACTCTGGCGAGCTCACACATCCTATAGCATCGCAGTTTCCTCCTGTAATGCTCACAGGTGCCAGCACCAATGGTATTCCCTTCTCCCTGAGTCTGTGTGCAGCGGGTTCTTTTTGTGCTTCTTTCCCCTCAGGTAGCTTCTTTCCCCTGGGCCACTCCTAGGGGTGAAGGGATTACCTCTTCCCAGTGTTTTTTATTCCTGTGGGGCTCACCCCAAAGTATTAAAAGTAGATTTGTATTAAAAATAAATAAACAAAAAAGATAAAACCTCCAATTTAGTCCAAGCAAATGAAAAGAATAGAAGAATAACCATTAAAAATCAGGACAACATACAGGAAATCCTAGACACAATGCAACTACCAAATAGGTGTCCTATTAAGTGTCAACCTACTAGGTGTCCCAGAAGGCAGAGAGACAGGCAAAGGCATAGAAAATCTCTTTCATGATATATTAGCTGAAAATTTTTCAAATTTAGAGAGTCATGTGAGCATTCAAATCTAGGAAATACAAAGGATACCAAGTAATTAGATCGTCTCCAAGGCAAAGAATAACCAGAGTGGCAAAAATCAAAGACAAAGACAATATTTTTTAAATGGCACAACAGATACAGGTTACTTATAAAGGTTAATACATTAGACTAATACTGGAGCTCTCAAATGAAACAATACAGGCAAGGAAAGAATGGGAATATATATTTAAAATACTGAGGGAAAAACAATTTCTGCCAAAAGTACTATACCTGGCAAGATTATCCTTCAAATAAAAAAGAGAGATCAAATCATTCTCATATCCACAAATGCTGAAAAAAATTCGCCAAGACAAAACCAGCTCTTCAGAAAATACTACACAAAGAAAATTAAAGTGAAATAAATAGAAGTAAGAAAACAAAAGCAACTAGGAAAAAAGATAAGTCCACATATATCAATAATAACATTGAATGTCAGGATAAGATTTTACTACTAAAAATACAGATTCAACTATTCTACACACAAGCAAGGTTAAGTAAGTACAGATTCACCAATTATTTGATAGACAGTTATCCCAACAGGTTTCAATTTATTTATCATAATCAATGTTCATTGTATAAAACTAGATAACAAAAGAAAAATCCAAAATGTTATGAGTACCTGAGTTTTTCTTTGGAATGAATTTAAAGAAGGTAAAAACCAGGACTAGCAGTTAGCATAATAGCTATGTTGCTGAACTCCCATGTAGTCGACCATGGTTCAAGTCCTGGACCTGGTGGCTTAAACTCATGCCAGGCGCATGTGCATGCGTGCCCAAGATCCCAAGAGGAGAATGGAAGAGAAGGGATTGCAGCATGGCCATCCGCCCTGGGGGGGTAATTTTTTGCTTTCTGTCTCTCTGTCTCTCTTTCTGTCTCTCTGGCAAGTGCACGCACCCTGTAGCAAAAAAAAACCTCTCCCCCCAAAAAAGAAGGTTAAAACCAAGAATGTTGTAAAGCCTATAAATCACCAAATCACTCACTTTACCATGTCTTCATTATTAAACACTTCTTTCCATTTTGTTTTGTTTTTGTTTTTTGAGGCCTTATTTCTTTATGCACAGTGTTGTATTATGGTCTTATAAGAATTCACAGTGAGTGAATAAATGTTTTCTTTTTCTATCTCTTCCTAGTGAGCTATTATTATGCACAATTTTACCTATCTCTGACTGAACCAGTGATACCACAGATCTTTTTGGATTATAAACTTCTTTTTCCCATATCCTCTATACGGAAATTACAAATTATTCTTTTATTGGCTATGTTGAAGTTATCTTCAAAAATCCATCCTCATTAATTTATGAGACTTTCTGTTGTATTATTTTTAATCAATGTGTTTTTCTTTAAAACTATTTCGCAGTAAAAATGTCATAGTGGGGATGAGCAGTTGGCATAATGGCTGTGTTGTAGGACTCCCATGAGGTCAACCATGGTTCAAGACCCGGACCCGGTAGCTTAAACTCACACCAGGCACGTGTTTGTGCATGCCAAGATTCTGAGAGGAGAATGGAGGGGAAGGGATTATAGGGTGGCCATTCCGCCTGGGGGTTGGTTTCGTGTTTTCTGTCTCTCTGTCTCTCTCTGTCTTTCTGGCAAGCACACGCATCCTAAAGCAAAAACCTCTCAAAAAAAAAAGTCATAGTCAATTCAGTACATACTTTCAGAGTAAAGAGTGGAGCAGCTTCTGACTCTTCACAACATAATGTTAGATGTTGAAGGTGGTAAATATGTTAATATCCTCAATTTGTACACTATACACAATCTACATATTCTTAAAGGCCATTCTGTATCCTACAAAGATATGTAATTGTTATATGTAAATGATAAATTACAATATTAAAATTAAAACAGAAAACAAAAGAAAAGCATAATAATCCAAAACGAACAATAACAAAAACTTGGGCACAGTATAAAGCTGAATGAGGAACTAGACCAGTTTCTAATGTCACTGTGGCTCCAAATTAGATAGATAGCTTTAACCACTTGCTTTCTTTTCTCTAAGCTTTGTTTACCTCATTTTTTAAACAAGAGGGTAGATCCTTTGATCTCTGCTATGGTTTGGATAATGACATATCCTCCAAAGTTTCATGTTTTAGAATTTGATATGGGGAGATAGTGAAGCCTAGTGAACAGTGATTAGTTCATTGCAATTGGATCATAGAATGCACTCTCAATAATCGATTAATGATGTCTCTTGAGACCCTATGAGTTCTAGCTCTTGTTAGAAGGGGTTAGTTCCCACAAGAGCTGGTTGCTATAAAGAGGGAAAGCTGCCTGCAGCTCACACTCTCTCTGCAAGAGGCTGCTATCCTCTCTGTTTCTGTTGATCACATTGTAGGCCTAAGAATTCAGACTACATAGCCACTGGAATCATTAGTTCAGCAAATAAACCTCTCTTCATTTAAATTTACCCAGTCTTAGGTATTTCTGTTAACAACACAATAATGGATTCAGACAATCATTAAGGGCCCTTTCAAGTTTCAAAATAAAAAAAAAGAACAGAACCACTGATTTATTTACCACCTTATTATAACTGATTCATCTATTCACTTATTCAAAAGACAGTTATTATGAAAATAGGAGAGGGCGGTCTTCAAAAAGTTTAAGAAAATACATACTATTAAAAAATTATACATGAATTTCAAAATTTTTTTGCACCAACATTAACTTATATTTTCACTCCCTTTTTCCAAGAACTTTTTAAGTCCCTTCATAATTAAAAAGATCAAAGGACCCTTTGTGATGAGAAAGATATAGGCCCAGCTTGGAGAGTTTACGCCAGTCCAGCTTCTCTATCCCATGTGATTAGAGTTTCAAGGGTCTTGTTCAAGCTCAGGTTGCAGAACCCAACCCCAGTTTATCCCTTGGCAAACAGTTCCTGATGATGTTAATTTTGTTAACCCCCCAAAGACCACTGTTGAGAATTGCAGTGCTAATGGATTCCATCCTGCAGGGAGGTGGATTTGTAAGCAGTTGTAGTTGGGAATATATATATATATGTTCTCTTCTCACACAGAAAAACTAATTCATCATTTGTTAAATCAAAGACAAGGTCACAAATGGACTATTTAACCCACAGTAAATCTGAAATGCCACAGAAAGAAAACAAGTAGAGAACCCCAGAAGGTAGAACATCATTAGGAAGTCAGTTTTACAAATTAATTTTGGCTTCTATCTGAGTTAACAGGTTGATGGTTAGTAAATAAGCCAGTCTATAAATCTGAATATTACCTAGTTTTACAGTTTCCATGGATTATCAGCCTCAAACAATTGTAAACAACCTTTGACAACTCACTTGGTTGTAAACTGGGGACATTCTAGTGTGCAACAACAAGATGTAGACAATTCATGAAGACATAAACACATCTGCTTTCATTGATCCAGGTGTGTTCATTCTTTCTCTCTGGTACCCTTCTCTGGCTCACCCTGTCCTTTTCTACAGCATCCTTCATGTGATGCAGTAACTTGAATTCTCATTGTCCATCATTACTAGCCCAGAGAGGATTTCCTATATCCTATTATATGCCTGTATTTCTATATGCCCAGCCCCTAGATGAACTAACAGTTTTGTACAGATTAATGGATCATAATAAATTGGGTCTATTATATTACTCATTTTGCAGATATGGACTCATGGTCATAAATGGACTAAGTCATTTTCTAAACCAAGTTGGTAAGTGATAGAGCTGGCTTTTTACCAGTTGACAATCTCATTTACAAACCTGTGAGTTCCTTTATGGATTAATTCATTTCTGGGTCTCTATACCATTTTGTAAACTGCCATGCAAAAGACAGAGGATAATGGAGTTCCCATGTCCAGAAACTTCAGTCTTCAGCTTCACCTTCTCAATCAAGGTACCCTTTGACTTAAGTGTCTTGTGCCCTAGCCTTTGCTTGAAGTCCCTGTGTCAGATACACTTTTCCTCACTGAGCACCTAACTGGCAGAAAGAAGTTACCCTGGAATATTAAGAGAATCACAAAGCACTCAACATTTTAGTTAAAGCTACTAGGTTGGTAAGAATATAGAACCACAGAGAAGATTGTCTCTTTAGAGTAAATTTCAATTCAAGGAACAGAGCTACAAATTACATTTGCATCCTCTACAAAATAGCATCTTTGTACCAACTAAGTGATTACTCTAACTACAGTTAGAAAATGATGACAAGGAGGCTGTGTTCCTCCCAACTTTACGTGATGCAGTTAACTTTATTCTAGACTATGGCTCAGAAACCTTCATTGGTCCCAATCGGTTCTCTTAAAGGAATGAATGGTGAAGGCATGGAGGTGGGCGAGTATACACTGAGGCATCCTGAGAAAACCTCCCAGGTAAGTAGAAGTGAACTTGTGACCAAAAGAGACTTTGTTTTATTCTAAGAAATCAATTCTGTTTAGATTATCCACTTTTTAACTGTTTTAAATGATAATAATACAGTACGAAGATAGATCATTAAATCACAATGAGAAATATTACATTAGTACTTAAGACTATTAAGCAAATAGGCAACCTGGAAACTGTGCCCTACAGTTATATGTCCTTTGTGAGATGAGACAGGCAGAGCATACAGAAACAGTCTAGAGAGAAAACTATATGCTTTCATGTCCTCCCTTACCTAACCTTCAAACACATTTCCTAACAAGAAATAATTGACTAGTTTGGGTAGAGATACTGAGCATCTGTCTTAGTCCACTATTGTGTTGCTAACAGTAATACCTGAGACTGGATGAATATAAGAGAATAAAGGTTTTTTTGACTCATGATTCTGGCTATATAGAAGATCCAAAGATATCACAAAATGGCAAAGGGCAGAATCTTGAGCACAGCAGCTATCCACAAGTTTCTACCTATTCTGGGGGTTTTTTTCCCCCTCTTATAAAATTGCCATAACTCAATCATAGGGGCCTCACCCTAATGACCCTATCATAACAAAAGGTCCCATCCTGGAGCACCACAAAGGAATTAAGTTTTCATTTAACACCTTTACAATACAGCCAAGTCCCAACACATGAATTTGGGGGGGGGGGGCATTCAAACTATCACAGCAACCAAGGCTATAATTCAGGTTCTGTCACTTACTAGCCATATTACTGAGAAGATCTAAAGAGATGATATATGCCAAAGTGTCTATAAGGGTTAATTACAATTATTTACATTACAATTATACTTAAAATTATTAGGCAAGTATCTAGTAATACTTTCCCTCCCTCATAGCATGTTTTTTAAGGATCTCATGAGATAAAGGATGATCATGGTCACTGTAACAATAACTGCACTGTATTACTTTTTGTTGTTGCTTTGGGATGTGTCTAGATCTGAGTTTCCCTAAGTGTGTCCCAGCACAAACTGCAGAGTCACCTGGGGATTTGCACAATGAAGAACTTTGCACCTCACCTCCCTGCCTACTGAATCAGTCTCCCTGGAAAAAGAGGAGTTCTTGAATGTGCATTGTAACAAGCTCCCTAAGTGATTCTTATGCACATCAAAGTTTGAGAACCTCTAGTCTAGAAATATCACTCCTCAATATAACACCAAGTTTTAATTCTCCCCCCAAAAATGTTTAATTGCTCATTAAAGTTCATTAAGAGCCCCAAAGGGGAACCAGCAGTTAGCGTAATGGCTATGTCGCTGAATTCCCACATAGTCAACCGCGGTTCGTGTCCCGGACCCGGTGGCTTAGAACTCACGCCGGGCGCGTGTGCATGCGTGCCCAAGATCCCAAGAGGAGAATAGAGGAGAAGAGATTGCGGCATGACCATCCCCCCTGGGGGGTGATTTCTCGCTTTCTGTCTCTATGAATCTCTCTGGCGAGCGCACACGCCCTATAGCGAAAAAACCTCTCCAAAATAAAATAAAATAAGAGCCGCAAAGCACAGGCAGTAATCCCAAAAATAGACAAATGGGATTACATCAGGTTAAAAAGCTTCTTTTTTTTTTTTTTTGAGAGGTTTTTGCTATAGGGCACGTGCGCTCGCCAGACAGAGACAGAGAGACAGAGAGACATAAAGTGAGAAATCACCCCCCAGGGGGGCTGTCCATGCCGCAATCCCTTCTCCTCCATTCTCCTCTCTGGATCTTGGGCATGCACACACACACGCCTGGCGTGTTTCTTCTTTTTAGAGGTTTTTGCTATAGGGCGCGTGTACTCACCAGACAGAGACAGAGATAGAAAGTGAGAAATCACCCCCCAGGGGGGATGGCCATGCCGAAATCCCTTCCCCTCCATTCTCCTCTCGGGATCTTGGACACACACGCACACGAGCCCGGCATGAGTTTTAAGCCACTGGATCCGGGACGCAAACCACGGTCGACTATGTGGGAGTCCAGCGACATAGCCATTACGCTAACTGCTGGTCCCAGGTTAAAAAGCTTCTTCACAGCAAAAGAAACAATAATTAGAGTGAAGAGACAACCCTCAGAATGGAAAAATATATCGCAAACTCCCTTAGGTAAGGAACTGATAAGCAAAATATATAGGGAACTTGAGCAACTTATCCACAAAAAATAAACAATCCAATTACAATATGGGCAAATGGGCTGAACATACAGCTTTTTAAGGAAGACATATGAACAGCCAAAAACCATATGAAAAAATGTTCAACATCCCTTGTCATAATGGAAATGCAAATCAAAATCACGATGATATACCACCTAACCCCAGTCAAAATGGCTAAGATTAAAAAAATTAAGAATTATAAGTACTGACAAGGCTGTGGTGAAAAGAGAACTTTCCTACACTGCTGGTGGGAATGCACATAAGTACAACCACTGTGGAGAACAATATGGAGGTTCCTCAAAGACCTAAAATAGGACTACCATATGATCCAGCAATTACATTTCTGGGTATCTACTTGAAGGATAGGATTTCACTCAATCAGAAAAACACTTGCACATCCATGTTTATTGCAGCATTATTCACTAACCCAAATGCCCAAGAATAGAAGAATGGATTGAAAAAGCATGGCATGTATATACTGTGGAATACTACTGAACCATAAAAAATGAGACCCTGGCATTTGATAGAAAGTGGATGAATATGGAAGACTTAATTCCCAATGAAATAAGCCAGAGTATGAAAGAGAGGCATAGTATGTCCCCACTTAATATATACAAAATGTCTGTACTCTATGGCATAAATGGAAAGACTGGAAGGTATAAAAACATGTTGAGCAACTGTGGATACTAGATTCAGTGTGGGAGGAGGATGGGAAATGGGGGAAGGTGAGTGGGGAACCAAGGGGGAAAAGAAGCAAAACATCTAAAGGACACAAAAATGGAAAATTATCTGCTGATGATAATGTGTATGATAACTTTGACTGGACTAATATACAGTGTATTCATGCTGGGAAAATTCATTTTGTATGCTGTAATGATATACAGTGATTAAATAAAAAATAATAATAATAAAATTAAAAGAAAAAGAAAAATAAGTTCGACACTTCTTGACCATCTACTATATCCAAAACTCAGTGCTAAGTGTTCTGGAGGACCAGCATGATGGTGTATGAAAAATGTCAACAAATTCTTTACAAATTTTCTAATCAATAGAGTTTATTTCCTCATCCCTGAATCAAGCTGGTCTTGAAATCTGCTCTGACCAACAGAATGCGGCAGAAGGGCATTGACTGAGTTTTATGCCTGGTCCTCAAAAGACTTTGCAGTTCCCCTCTCATCCTCTTGGGAAGGAACTGCCATGCAAATAAGCCCAGGATGCTTCCTGAAGGTTGAAAGACCTTATAGAGGAGACTTAGCTGTCCATGCTGAGGCCTCAGACCTGAGTGATCCTAGTTGATCCTAGTTGACAATATGTAGACCAGAGATGAGCCATCTCACTGAGTACACTCAGAATCTATTCATGGAATTGTGAGCAAATAAACAACCAATATTTACATTTTAGGATAATTTTTTATATTTCAAAAGTTCATTAAAACAGGAATAAAGATGAGTAATACTCAGACTCTGTACTATCTTCATAGAACCCAGAGTAGGAACCTAAATGTACAGACCTATATTTGGCTAAATATTGGTTGTTGAAAAAGTCATAACATATTTTTTCTGTTTTTCTATGTAAAAAACGCATCATGACTTTTCTGATGACCTAATACACGACGTCTTTTTTCTTTTTTTTTTGAGAGAGAGATTTTCACTGTAGGGCGCGTGCGCTTGCCAGACAGACAGAGAGAGACATAGAGACAGAAAGCGAGAAATCACCCCCCAGGGGGGATGGTCACGCCGCAATCCCTTCTCCTCCATTCTCCTCTTGGGATCTTGGGCACGCACACACACGCGCCCGGCGTGAGTTTTAAGCCACCGGGTCCGGGACACAAACCGCGGTCGACTATGTGGGAGTCCAGCGACATAGCCATTACGCTAACTGCTGGTTCCCACGACGTCTTTTGTTGTTGTTGTTTAGAGAGATTTTTGCTATAGGGCACATGCATTCACTGGAGAGACAGAGAGACAGAAAGCAAGAAAGCAACCCCCAGGGCAGATGGCCATGCTGTAACCCTTTCTCCTCCATTCTCCCCTTGGGATTTTGGGCATACATACACACATGCCCAGAGTGAGTTTTAAAGTTACCAGATCCAGGACTTGAACCACGGCCGAGTATGTGGAAGTCCAGCAATATAAACATTACACCATCTGCTGGTCTCCAAAGTCTTTTAAGAAAGGTAACAAATATCACATTGATTACATCTACTTGGGGAGCAAGGAAGAATTTCTGAATGACACAATAAGTAAGTGCAGTGTTTGAAGGATGGGATAGAGTTTGAAAGGTGGCAATGGCACATAGGTGAAGATGAATTTGAAATGAAAGGAATGGCATGAACAGAGGCATAGAGATAGTCCAGGTATATTCAGCAAAGATAAGCCCAATTAGGCTGGAACTCCAACTGAGGCCATGCAGTGTGCAAAGGGCAAGATGAAGCCAACACATGGAGGTTTTTAAATGACAGGTTATGAACTTTGATTTAACTCAATAAAGATGGGACAGTAGTCTTGGGTATTACGTAATTCAATCTGAGCTATGCTTTAGTGGAATTATCTACTCATGTCGTACACTGAAATTTGTCATAATATCAATAATGGAATCCCAGGTGCTTTATTATCTATATTGTAAGGATTATCTAACATTGATGCTGTTGTTGGAATTTTTTGGCTTTTGGGTTTTTTGTAGGAGGAGGGTATGGGAGCTTCTTATTAATGTTTGCAGGAAACGCTAGCCCGTCAATGATCTCCCTTCATTACTAGTTCTAATAGATGTCCCAATGTTAGGCTTGTGGGGTATTTTTGCTTGTTTGTTTCGTCAACCCATATTATAGGGATTATT